TGACTTCGAGGAGGCGTCTGGCCCCGAGGCAGGGCACGTCGAGGGGGAGCGGGTTGATGTCGTCGCCGTCGGGGGGGTCGACGGGGAGGTGGATTTGTGCAAGGAATTGAGCCACGTTGCCGAGAGGTTCGGCTTGGTGGTCGTCTGTCTTCCGTGGGGTGCCTATTCCGTTGCCGGCGGCCGCAACAAGAAGTTGCAGCAAGCCAGATGCAAAGGGCAATCGGACGTTGCGTCCACTCGCGCCAACGAGGAGATGCATATCTCTCGTGCGATGCGCGGTCTTCATCCTCGCACTGGTGCCTCTTGTACCTAGTGCCAGCCTCGACGCCTAGTCTACTTTGTTGGCGTGGCCGATGAGGTGGGGACGCAGCTGTTGAGGAAGAACTGTGCGTTGCAGCGAGCCTCATGCCCTGCAGTGCAGCTTCTGTGTTTCACGCCGCTGGGGCGGGTCCGTTAGTTCGGACTCGCGCTTCCATCGCTCGGTACCTCCTCCTCCTCCTCCTCCTCCTCCTCCTCCTCCTCCTCGTCCTCCTTGTCCTCCTCCTCCTCCTCGTCCGCCTCCTCCTCCAGCTCCTCCTCCTCCTCCTCCTCCTCCTCCTCCTCATCCTCGTCCTCCTTGTCCTCCTCGTCCTCCTCGTCCTCCTCGTCCTCCTCCTCCTCCTCCTCCTCCTCCTCCTCCTCCTCCTCCTCCTCCTCCTCCCCCTCCTCCTCCTCCTCCTCCTCATCCGCCTCCTCCTCCCTCCTCCTCCTCCCTCCGCCCTCCCTCCTCCCGCCCTTCTCCCTCCTCCTCCTCCTCCTTCTCCCTCCTCCCTCCTCCCTCCTCCTCCTCCTCCTCCCTCCTCCCTCCTCATCCCTCCTCCCTCCTCCAGCCTCCCTCCTCCTCCTCCCTCCTCCTCCCCTTCCTCGTCCTGACCTCTTCCTCCTCCATTCATTTTCCTTATCAACAACTTCTCCCTGTCGCACCCCGAGGCCAGTTTTTAGGGCGGGCCAGGCCGTTTCGCCTGAGACTTCCCCACCATTTATGACTCTGAAACTTAAAGGTTGACAGCAGTTTCACACATGGAAGGCGGGCCGTTTTCAGAATGTGGCTCTCGCCTTAGCGCGGCGCACATTCGATTAAAACAACTGCAAGAGCTTCACGGATTGAGGGCGGGTCGTTGTCAAAATGTAGCTCTCGCCTTAGCGCGGCGCACACTCGTTAAAACCGTGCAAAAGAGCTTCACGGATTGAGGGCGGGTCGTTTTCAACATGTGGCTCTCGCCTGAGCGCGGCGCACATTCTTTTCAAACATGTGCAAGAGTTTCACGGGTCGAGAGCGGTTCCTTTTCAAAATGTGGCTCTCGCCTTAGTGCCGCGCGCATTCGTTTACAACAAGTTGGAAAGTTCTCACGGATCCCCATCGTCAAGGTACCAGAAATGGTGGTTTGAAGGGTTCAGGATTACGCGGGCACAACAGTTAAGTTGATTCGCTGTGTTGAAGTCCCAGGAATGGCGTTCTAGCACGGTTCAGGATCGTCAACACGCAATAATCAGGTTGATCCGTGGCGTTGGAATTCAGACAACAATGTTTTGGCATGCTTCAGGGTCTTCAAACGGCTGTCTTCAAACGAGGCAGTTCCCTCAATGGAAATGAACCGTTGAAAGGGCATGTGAAGAGGGGGCTTGGAGGGTTGGTTTATTCCATCTTCGTTGATGACTATTGGGCTTACACTGGTCCTCCTCCTCTTCCTCCCCCTCCTCCTCCTCCTCCTACCCCTCCTCCTCCTCATCATCCTCCTCCTCTTCACCAGTATCATCCTCATCATCACCATCATCATCACCACCATCATCATAAGCATGATCAGCATCACCACCACCACTACCACCACCACCATCAGCATCATCATCACCAGCATCACCATCGCCTTCATCATCACCTTCACCATCATCATCACCACCATCATCATCATAATAATAATACTCATCACCATCAACATCATCATCACCATCACCAACACAATCACCATGAGCATCACTACCACCACCACCATCATCATCAACATCATCACCATCATCCATCATCATCAACATCATCACATCATCATCAGCATCATCACCATCAACATCACCACATCATCCGATCATCATCATGATCATCATCATCATCAGCATCATCATCATCATCATCATCATCAGCATCAGCATCATCATCATCATCATCATCATCAGCAGCATCGTCATCATCACCACCATCATCTTCATCATCAGCATCATCATGACCAGCAGCATCATCAGCATCATCACCATCGGCATCACTACCACGACCACCACCACCATCAGCATCATCATCATCATCATCATCATCATCATCATCACCAGCACAATCACCATCGGCATCACCACCACCACCATCATCATCAGAATCATCATCAGCACCATCACCATCACCATCACCACCACCGCCATCATCATCATCATCATCATCATCATCATCATCAACATCAGCATCAGCATCATCAGCACCACCATCATCATCATCAGCATCATCGTCATCAGCATCACCATCATCATCATCATCATCATCATCATCATCATCATCATTATCGCCATCGGCATCATCAGCATCATCACCATCGGCATCATCAGCATCATCACCATCATCAGCATCATCACCATCATCAGCATCATCATCATCATCATCATCATCATCATCATCATCATCATCATCATCATCATCAGCATCACATCAGCATCATCATCATCATCATCATCATCATCATCATCATCATCATCATCATCATCCATCACCATCATCCATCATCCATCATCATCATCATCATCATCATCATCATCATCATCATCATCATCATCATCATCATCATCATCATCATCATCCATCATCATCATCAGCATCATCAGCATCATCATCATCCATCATCATCATCATCATCATCATCATATATAATATCATCATCATCATCATCATCATCATCATCATAGAATACTCATCATCAGCATCAGCATCAGCATCATCATCACCACCATCATCATCATCAGCATCATCGTCATCAGCATCCATCCATCACCATCACCATCATCATCATCATCATCATCATCATCATATCACCATCGGCATCATCAGCATCATCACCATCGGCATCATCAGGATCATCACATCATCATCATCACCATCACCATCATCATCATCATCATCATCATCATCATCATCATTATAATATCATCATCATCATCATCATCATCATCACCATCACCATCACCATCATCATCATCATCATCATCATCATCATCATCATCATTATAATATCATCATCATCATCATCAGCATCATCATCATCATCATCATCATCATCATCATCATCATCATCCCCCCCTTCGACTTCGAGCTCTGAATTTCTCTCAACCTGACACCCGCCAAGCTAAGCCGTTGATCTTGATCCGGCCCAGTCCTGGGCCTCGCGCAGCTCGACGACGTCGTCGGGGTGACCTACGCCGGTGGTGCAGTCGTTTTCTTCGATGCAGTGTGGCAGCCACCTTGCAGTCATAGCCTATTCAAGGACGCGCGGTAAGGATGCAAGCCCATGTTGAGTGCACCATCGGGGGCTGGCCTGCAAATGGCCGAGGACGGGGCGAAGGCGCAGGGATGCAGAGGGCGGCCTTTGACCAGGTAGTGCTCTCTGCTGCAACGCTCCACTGCGCACCGCAGGAGGGGGGGGGGGCAGAGGAGGGGGATCGGATGGTTCTGGCGGCTCTGGATTACTTTCTGGGGCACCGCGGCCATTTTCTGTGCCGCGGGCTCCTGGGAGAAGCTTGGCAGCAACGCCGGTACTCCAGATTTCGTAATAAAAGGGAGGGGGTCTGGACCCTCCAAGACAAGCCATGCCAGACGTCCCCCGTGGGAGAACCCTCCAGGAACATCGTCCCCAGACCCCCCAGGCCCTCCAAGATAGCCTGGAAGAGACCCCCCCCGAAATGAGACCCCCCTCCCTTTATCCCGAAATCTGGAGTGTCCAGGAGGAGGAGGAGGAGGAGGAGGAGGAGGAGGAGGAGGAGGAGGAGGAGGAGGAGGGGGAGGAAAGGAGGAAGGAGGAGGAGGAGGAGGGAGGAGATGAGGAGGAGGAGGAGGAAGTGGAGGAGGCTCTCCACTCTTGACATCTGCTGTGTAATGAGGGTCTTTTGCCGCCCCGGTGAAAGGTCCTTCCGAGGAAGCGGGCCTGAACACCCTGACACGTCGGTCGGAAGACGTGGTAGAAACATGAAGCAAGGAGGCGTTGAACGTAGACTGGGTCTCCGCCTGGCCCAGAAAGAGGAAAGAAAAAAGCGGAAACCAATCGATGGTTGAAGCATAGAAGCGCCTAGAAAGTGGATGGGAATCCAGGAGTCCAGAGATGCCAATTGTCAACGACCGATGGGCGGCTTGTCCCTTGCAGCGTGAAGCTGTAAAACTGGAGAGGGACACGTAGGGGGAGAAAGAGGGGGTGGGGGGGGAAACTGGGCTTAGGAGGAGGTCTGAGCCCGAAACCGAATAACAACGCCCTTCTAAAAACATGAGACGCCAGGATCCCCGGGACTTGCGAGGAGGAGGACGAGAAGGAGGATGACGAGGAGGTGGAAGAGGAGGAGAACCAGGAGACGAGGGCCGCATCCGTCCAGGGAACCAAATGTCCACAGCTCGAAGCTCGAAGCAGGAGGAGGAGCTGGAGGACGACGACTACGAAGAGGAAGAGGAGGAGGAGGAGGAGGAGGAGGAGGGAGGAGGAGGAGGAGGAGGGAGGAGGAGAGGAGGAGGAGGAGGAGGAGGAGGAGGGAGACGAGGAGGCGGAGGCGGAGGCGGAGGAGGAGGAGGAGGAAAATGAGGAGGACGAGGAGAAGAAGGAGGAGGGGAGGAGTAGGAGGATGAGGAGGATGCGGAGGATAAGGAGGAGGAGGAGGAGGAGGCGGAGGAGGAGGAGGAGGAGGAGGAGGAGGAGGACGACGACGCCGAGATCCGAAGCACAGGCGGCCTGCGCTCGTGGCGTTGCTGGCGCGCCGCTCGAGGCGGCCGTCGGCGACGCGGAACCAGCGCCGCTCCCAGCGGCCGACGCGGCCCGGGCCGCGGGTCTCCAGGAGCCCCTCCCGCATGGGGCGACGGCGGGCCCGCGCGCGCCCGAGACGGCGAGGAGCTCTGGCTGGTCCTCCTACGCTTCCTCCTACGCTTCCTCCTCCTCCTCCTCCTCCTCCTCCTCCTCCTCCTCCTCGTCCTCCTCCTCATCCTCCTCCTCCTCCTTCTGCCTTTTTCTGTCTCCTCCTCCCTCTCTCGCAGCGCCTTGGGGCATCACCTATGACGCTCCCGCGCCCTCCGTGCGCACCCGGGGCGCGACGGCTTCGCGGCGGCGGACCCATTCCGAAGGGGGGGGGACGGGGGCCACCCACATTCCTCTCTGAGGCCGCGGAGGGGGAGGAGGAGAAGTGGGTGGAGCGACGGAGCCGCCCAACCGTAGGCGGTACATCCCGTAGACGTAATGCTCTTCCGGTAGCGTAATAGGAGGAGGAGGAGGAGGAGGAGGAGGAGGCGGAGGAGGAGGAGGAGAGATGAGGTGGAGGAGGGGGAGGAGGAGGACGAGGAGGAGGAGGAGGAGGAGGCGGATGAGGAGGAGGAGAGAGGAGGTAGAGGGAGGAGAACGAGGAGGAGGAGGAGGAGGAGGAGGAGGAGACGGAGGAGGAGGAGGAGGAGGCGGTAATACACACGATGCCTACGATGATGTCTGTCTGCAGCGCTAACTGGGTAGACGCAGTAATCTGCGCGTAAGATGTACATATCTTGTCCGTAGCGCTGCAATAGTTCGAGAGCTTCCCCAGCTTCAGGCAGGCTGCACTTGCCATGGATACTCCCAGTCGTCGCTGGCCAGGTCGTAGTACTCAGCGCTTCACCTGTCTTCGTTCGAGGAAGTCCTGTACTTCTCGATACTTTCCCCGTGCTCCACGTCGCTCTCGTTGTGCTCGTCGTCGCGCTCGTCTTCCTCCTGAGGTCGTAGAAGTTCTGCGGCGAGGATAGGCATGGGCCGCTGGCCCATAGGTATCCTGTTCTGGTGAGCCTCGTAGTGGTCGCGGGTGGACAAGAGCGCTTCGATGGCTCCTGAAGGGCCCAGCGCGTGGTCCGGACCATCGCGTCCCTCGGCCGACGGTCATGCCTATGGGCACCATCATGTCGTGGGGCTTGTTGTACGCGGGGTTCATCGGTTTGGATTTGGCCCTGATGGCGACGGCCTCTGTGATTGCCGCCCCCTCAGCCATCATGGCCCTGGGGAAGTCCAGCCCCTGGATCACGGCGTACATGATAATGATAAAGATGGGCTCTTCCTGCTCCCCTCGTCACTCTCCTCGTCCTCCTCTCGTGGCCCTGGTGGCCCAGCAGGTGGCTCTCGGAATCTCGCTCACGGCCCTCGCAGCTCGGCTTGTTGCCCCCATGGTTCGGCTGGTGGTCCTCGTAATGTGTCGGGGGCTCTAGAGGCTCAGCTCGTGGATCTTGTAGTTCAGCTGGGTGGCGCTCGTAGCTCTGCTGGATGCCCTTGCCGCTTAGCTCGCGTCCCGCGTAAATCAGCCTGTGGCCTTTGCAGCCTCTTGCTGGTGGCACTCGTAGTCCAGCTGGTGGTCCACGTGGCCCGGCGTGTAACCCTAGTAGCTCGGCTGCCCGACCTCGAATCTCAGCTCGTGGCCCTCGCAACCCTGCCGGTGGCTCTGGGAGCTTAGCTGGTGGCGCTGGTTGCCCCGCTGGTGGCTCGCGTGGCTCTGCTTGTGGCCTATGTAGCTCAGCAAGGGTTCCTCGTGGCTGAACTGATGGCTGAACTGATGGCTTTTGTGGCTCGGCAGGTGGTCCTGGACCTCAGCTTGCGGCTGTCGTAGATCTGAGCGCGGCCATCGTAGCTCAGCGCGTGGTTTTCCTAGCTCAGCTGGTGGCTCTCAGAGTCCTGATCGCGGCCCTCGCAACTCGACTAGTTGCCTCTTCAATTCAGCTGGTGGCTCTCGTAGCTGTGTCGGGGCTCTCGAGGCTCTGCACGCGTTCTACGTAGCTCAGCTCGTGGTCTCCGTTGCTCCGCTGGTGGCCCTCGTAGTTCAGCTGGTAGCCCTTGCCGCCGAGCCTGCGGACATCGACGTTCAGCTGGCCCTCGGAGTCCTGCCGGCAGTTCTGGTAGCTGAGCTGGTGGTGCTGGCAGCTCAGCTTGCGGCCCTTGCAGCCCTGCAGGTGGTCCTCGTAGCACAGCTGGTGGCGCCCGTGGCTCCGCGCTCGGCCCTCGAAGCACAGTCTGTGGGACCCGTAGCTCAGCTGGTTGCTCTCAAAGCACAGCTGGTCGCCCCTGAGGCTCTGCGCGTCGCCCAGGAAGTTCGGCGAGCAGTCCTGTGGCTCTGCAGTGGTCTCCTGAGCTTTCCTGTCCTCTCTAAGGCCTCCTCTGCCTTCGTGGCCTCCTGGGCCTTCCTGGACCTGTGCCAATGATCCCCGGCGGCGTAATCGCACAGGTGGTCGTAGTCTTGGTTGGCACTTCTGGTAGGCGTCGTAGTCTCGGTGGTCGTCGAAACACTGGTAGTCGTATCTGCTCTGGAGGCCGTTGTAGCTGGTCACGCGGGCTTCGGCATCTGAGAAAGGAAACACCAGGTCGCCCCAGTACTGTCCTTTCTCGCCTGGGGGGTGATCGTGGTCTGGGTCGGCTTGAAGATGGCTGCGGCTGGGTTCAAGCCCCCGCTCTTGCTGTCGTACTTGCCGTCAATCTTGGTGGTGCGTTTAGTGTCGTACTGGCGGTGATCATCACATTTGGGGTGCCTGTCACGCGGCTCGTCCTCGGGTTGCGTGTTGCGCAGCTCGTCCCGTCCTGCAGTGGACGCCACCATGAAGGCGGTCGTAACGATGGTCACGATGCCTTCGAGGTGCGGTTGTAGCCCGTGTCGGGCGAGGTCGCCCCTCTCTTGAAAGGTGCATCTGACCCTACTGATCTACGCGTGTACGGTCTCGGCATACCTGCTGGTGAGGCTCCACCGAGAGGCGGGTCGGTGTCGTGGCCGATGCGGAAGATGCCGGGCTTGTACCTCGGCAGCTGGTGGATGATGGCTTCTCCCAATTGTTCGCCCACAGATGGACGATCACCCTCCTCCTCCTCCCCCTCCTCCTCCTGCGCCTCCTCCTCCTCCTCCTCCTCCCCCTCCCCCTCCTCCTCCTCCTCCTCCTCCTCCTCCTCCTCCTCCTGCTGCTCCTCTTCCTCCTCCTCCCGCGCGCGCCTTCGTCGGGGGGGCCGTCCCAAGGGAGTAAGAGCCGCCTCGCGCGGTGTCTCCTCGCGCCGGGGCGCCTCTGACCCAGACCCTCCAGGAGCTCTCGAGGGCGAGAGGCCCCGTCCGAGCCACCTCCTCCAGAGGTTCGAGGCTCCAGGTGCTCGGGGCGCCTCCGTCGGCTTCGGGAGGTCCTCCGGCCTCGGGGGACGTCTTCCCGCAGCCTGCGCCTTGCCGAGAGCGCTCCGGGGCCGCCCGAGTCGTCCCGAACGGCCGCCAGAGACACGCGCTGCGGCCCGAAGGCCGATCGCCGCGGGGCAAACTTCGCAACGGGAAGCTGTTGGGCGTGTTCGGCTTCAGGGGAAGGACGGGAAGCCAGCCCCGTCCGGACTCTAGGTTTATGTCGGGCGTGTCCCCCTACAGGGGGATTTTCGACAAAAGAATGCCCTCGCGGGATTTTCGACAAAAACAAAAAAGGTCAAAACATATATTCAAAAAATAATCCCCAGACTATTTCTGGGGTACTTTTTTGACTGTTTGGGAGGTATCTTCTATTTCTCGAGAAAACAATCCCCCTGTAGGGGGACATGCCCGACTTAACGCCAGGTCTCCACGCACGTGCGAGCCCGACCGCCACGGGTCCAATCCACGGTGGGGTGTCGGACAGTAAAACGACGCGAAGATCGGGACAAAATCGGATCGGGATCACTCGAAATCTCTAAGAATCGGCGGGTTTGGAGGATGCATGGGGCGCCGCGGCCGCTCTCAGAGCGTTCCAGAACGCTCCGAGAGCGCTCCGGAACGCTCTGGAGCGATTCAGCCCGATCCTGGCCCTGTTTTAGACAACCCGCTGGGGCTCCCTCCCCAGACCCCCGACGTAATGATTTCTTCATTACGTCGACCCCCAGAGGTCCCGACCCTTTCCCCATGACCGGCTTTGCGTCCTGAGTCGTTTTTTCACGCTCCCGAGGCCCGGTGAGGGCCCCTGGAGACCGAAAATTGGGAAAAACCTCCCGTCGTGATTTTTGTCCTTACTCGAGGGGGTCTGGGTTGGCCGCCAGCGCCCTTCGGATCCTCAGACCCGCCCGGCTCCTCCGAAGAACCGGGCGGGTCTGAGGAGGAGGAAAAGGAGGAGGAGGGGGAGGAGGAGGAGGAGGAGGAGGAGGAGGAGGAGGAGGAGGAGGAGATTCGCTCTCGCCCCGCGGGGGCCCTTTGGCGCGCCGGGCTGCCCAGACGAGGGCGCCCGGCAGGCCGACCGTCCCCTCCGTGCCCCCGCCCGCCTCCCAAACACTTTTGGCCCGCGGGGCGAGAGCGAACCTCTCCTCCTCCTCCCTTCCTCCTCCCTCCTCCTCCTTTCCCCTCCGCCTCTCCCTCCTCCCCTCCTCCTCTCCTCCTCCTCCTCCTCATCCTCCCCCTCCTCCCCCTCCCCCTCCTCCCCCGCCCCTCCTCCTCCTCCTCTCCTCCTCTTCCTCCTCCTCCCCCTCCTCCTCCTCCTCCCCCCTCCTCCTCCTCCTCCTCCTCCTCCTCCTCTCCTCCGCCTCCTCCTCCTCCTCCTCCTCTCCTCCTCCTCCTCCTCCTCCTCCTCCTCCTCCTCTCCTCCTCCTCCTCCTCCTCCTCCCCCTTCCTCTCCTCCTCCTCCCTCCTCCTCCTCCTCCTCCTCCTCCTCCTCCTGCCTCCTCCTCCTCCTCCCCCTCCTCCCTCCTCCTCCTCCTACTCCTCCTCCTCCTCCTCCTCCCTCCTCTCCTCCTCCTCCGCCTCCTCCCCCCCCCTCCTCCTCCCCTCACTCCTCCTCCTCCTCTCCTCCTCCTCCTCTCCTCCCCTCTCCTCCTCCTCCTCTCCTCCTCCTCCTCCTCCCCCTCCTCCTCCTCCTCCGCCTCCTCTCCTCCTCTCCTCCTGCCCTCCTCCTCCTCCCCTCCTCCTCCTCCTCCTTCTCCTTCTCCCCTCCTCCTCCTCCCTCCTCCTCCTCCTCATTCCTCCTCCTCCTCCTCCTCCTCCTCTCCTCCTCCTCCTCCTCCCCCGCCCCCTCCTCCTCATCTCCTCCTCCTCCTCCTCCCCCCCGCCTCCCAAACACTTGTGGCCTGCGGGGCGAGAGCGAGCCTCCTCCCCCCCCCCCATCCTCCTCCTCCTCCGCCTCTCCTCATCCTCCTCCGCCTCCTCCTCCTCCTCCTCCTCCTCCTCATCCTCCTCCTCCTCCTCCTCCTCCTCCTCCTCCTCCTCCTCCTCCTCCTCCTCCTCCTCCTCCTCCTCCTCCTCCTCCTCCTCC